GTCCAAAGGTGTCATCTAGAGTCGAGTTCAGGGGCTCTTGGGGTTTGATATTTGCACATTTCTCACAAAGTATCAGATCAGCTAAATATTAAAAAATAAGCTGAATTTTTAGTCTGAACCTTTATATTATATCATGAGTTTAGGCACTTCATTTCATGCACTCTGGACAGTAGCTCAGAGTTCAATATGCACATGATGAATATAGCATCATTTAATTTTCTCAGCATTTCTTCTATTTTTATTGAATTATATTTATTTTAATGATTATCAGCTGATTTTTCTTGCTCGTTCTGATTTAGGTGGAGCTTGAGCAGGAAAAAAAGAAAACCCAAAACAGATAAGAATTAAATCTTAAAAGATTAAAATTTCACATCGATTCACCTCAAATTTGCTGCTCTTCCGTTTTTCGACATCCAATGCTTTGCAGACGTTCTCCAGCTGATCCCGGATTTGTTGCATCTCCGCCTCCAAATACTCATTACGTTTCTTGGCGTTTTTAGTCTCCTCCTTTTCAGCTGCCAGCTTGGCCTGAGTCTCCTGTAGCTGTCTGGTAAGAGTCTGACACTGAAACTAAGGAGGAGACATCTTTAAGCCATGAAATTAGATACTTTTTTAGGAGGTTACGATCCCTTTTTTTTGAACCTGTTCGCACCATTAGGTCATCCGAAGGGCTCTGCTGAGTCTCCTGCACTGAAAGCCTCCTCTGCAAGTCCTGGTTCTCTCTCTGCATTTTGTCCACGTTGTAGGTGAGGCTCTGCAGTCTTTGCAGCTCTGCAGCGAGCCTCTCTTTCTCTTTCCTGCTGCTCTGAAGGTCCACCTGCCAGCATGCAATATATATTTTTGTATTTTTCTGGTTCCAAATAAATGACAACTGAATGGATGAACTCTCAGGCCAGCCCATTTAACTAAAAATTTACCTCGATGAGCTGGATGCCGTCCTTTGCTTTAAACAGCTCACGTTCACCTTCTCTGACCTTTGCATTCAGCCTAAAACGCACAGACTTGAGCATCAGTAAGCAGAGAAAAAAAACAAGTTCTAAAAGTTTTGGTTTGAAGTAGAAAATGACTCACTTGGAGATCTCCTCACTCTGGGCCTCAATCGCCTCCTTCAGCTTTTCACGCTCCTCTTTCAGCTGGTTGATCTTCTGCACAGCTCGATCGTATTTCTCCTGGAAAAACAAGGAAGAGGTTACTGTAAGATTCAGATCAGGGGGCATAGGAGAAGGGTTCATTTGACATGTGAAACTGAGACTGAAAATTATGAAAATGGGGAAAAAAAGGAAAGAAAAACAACAATTTTACAAAACTATGA